CCCGTCATAACTGAATCCAAGGCTTAAAAGGCTACAGAGCCCGCAGCTCCGCAGCAGCTTGCCGCTCTCTGGAGTTGTGTGGGGTGGAACTGAGGAGAGATAGTGGGAAAGCAAGCTGGGAACTCAAGCTCCTCTTGGTGTGTCCCCTGGCCTCTTTCCCAGGTGGTGACCGTGGCCGTTTACAGCTTCTTCCTGGCCTGTCTGATCGGGCGGCAGTTCCTGGATCCAGAAAAAGCATATCCTGGCCATGAACTAGACCTCTTCGTGCCTGTGTTTACGTTTTTGCAGTTCTTCTTTTATGCTGGCTGGTTAAAGGTAAGTCCAAGAAAATAGGTCTGGAGCTGGAATCTGACCTAGCCAAGGGTTTTTCCCAGTGTGCGCTCACCAGGGATCCAGCCGTGTTCTTTGGTCTATGGGCAAGACGCCAGGTGCTGGCAGACAAATGGGAAGCCAACAGGGGCTGAGGGCATTGCCAAGACCTTCTCAGTTTCTGACCGTCTCACCCTGGAGATCAGCTCCACCTCTCCTAAGCTTTGGTCCTGACTAGTTTGGGGAAAAAAAGAGGCAGTAGGCTGCACTTCACCTGCAGTTGCAGGAGGGCTATGTTAGCCAGGGGCAGTTATCTGTGTTTACCAACGTCTCCCAGCCACAGGCAAGCCTCCCTTTTTAACCCACCTCTTTTCAGGAGGAACAGCATTGCTCCAAATTCAAGGGACATCAGGCTTGACTCTGCCCCACAGGCCTTCTCCCTGCAGGGAAAGGGGCCGGTATGACCATGATGACCTTTCCTATGCGCTCTCTGCATGCAGGTAGCCGAGCAACTCATCAACCCTTTTGGGGAAGACGATGACGACTTTGAAACCAACTGGCTCATCGACAGGAACCTGCAGGTAAAGTGACGGCAGGATCCTCCAGATGAGCCTGACCTGCAGAGGAACACCGAGGCAGGACTGCACCTGAGGGTTTAGCAAGCCCCATCACTGCAGTCGCAAAGTTCTCCTGCAACACCTCTGCCGCCCACCTCCCACACCCGCAACGGGGCGGAGAAGCAGCCCGTTACCCTCACGCTTTCCTGAGGCGTCAGTGGCTGTGTGTTAAGAAGAGGCCCAGGATCTCCAGAGGGAGATGGCTGGGAGAGCAGGAGGAGAGCATAAGGCTTCCCATACATACGAGGGTGAAGGTGGCCAGCTCAGTGTTCCCCCTCAGCAGCCAAGGAGACATCCCAGGCTCCAGGAAGAACGAGGGGCAAGACCTGTGCCAGGAAGACCCCCACATGCCAGGGAGGACAGGGCTTTGGGCATATCTTTGTACACAGAGACCAACGGCAGGTTTAGCCCGTGCTCTGGCACACATAATGGATCCAGACTGTTCGTTTCATGCCCTTGCTGCCTCTGAATGACACATCCTCCCTAGCTTTTCCACCCTGTGTCTGGATCTAAAACTGCCTCCTCTGCTTTCTTCCATGCAATAACTCTCCACCTTCAGCCCTTCCAAACACTGAGCCCTTCTGTCCTAGTGAGCATATTGCCTTCCTGTCTCCTTCAGCATCGCTTTCCTTCCAATTAATCAAATCTCTCCATGTGAGAAACAGCCCAGGTGACAGGAGACCACCCAGCAAACCCAGCCACTTGCCTCGCTTCCGCGCTACGCTGCTTCCTCCTGCCCTGCACTCCTTTGTCCACCGATAACAGGTAACGCTGCTCACCCCATATGCCATTTCTGCCATCCCCTGCAGGTCTCCCTTATGGCAGTGGATGAGATGCATCAGGATTTACCCATTCTGGAGAAGGACCTATACTGGAACGAGCCTGATCCCCAGCCACCCTACACCGCAGCCACTGCTGAGTACAAGCGCCCATCGTTCCTTGGCTCAACTTTTGATATCAGGTGAGCGCAGCCACAGGGTGTCAGAACAGTCCACATTTACGCCTTGGACCAGGTCTTGTGCAGAGCGTTCTACTTAAGGAGTAAGAGCAAGCAGTAATATCGCTCTCCATAGTTTGTGAAATCTTGCTCTAAGATACTTTTAGGCTCATCCAAAGATGACAGCCAACATCCTCCACGGAAAAGGATGCCTCTGCCCTCTTGCCCCCTTCCCCTCTACTACGAGCATCCCTATTGTGGAGGGCCTAACCCAAATCTAATGGCAAAAAGAGAGAGGCTTGCCACTGGCAGCAGCACGCCCCGTGCTGCCCTTTTTTTTTCTGTCCTCCCAGCCTCTCCACCAGAAACCACCTTCTTTTGTGGCTGTGTAACAGCCCGTTTTGCCTTTCCCCAGCATGCAGAAAGAAGAGATGGAGTTCCAGCCCCTGGAGCAAATTAAGGAGAATGAGGAGGCAAACCACTCCACACCATTACTGGGACACCTGGGCCGCCTCCTCGGCGTCCAGTCACCAAGCTTCTCCAGGTCCTCTTCCCGGATGAACCTGCTGCGCAGGCGAGGAGAACCCACATCCCCCTTCTCCCATTATACGTACCAAGACGTGGGCAAGTCTGGAAGCCCTTGCAGCATCAATCAGCCAAGGGGAGACTCCAGCTCCCAGGAGCAGTGGGACAGCGAAGATGGAAAACTAAGGGAGTTCGATGCCTTCATGTCAACCCCATTTTACGAGAGACCTGGTTTCTACAGTGCTCCACAGACACCGATCAGCTCTATCCCCATGATTTTCCCTTCCAGACGCCAAGGCCGCAAGAAGCCTCCTGCACTCTCCAGCATCGCCGCGTGGTCAACTTCTCTTAGGGATGTTATCGTCAGCTCCTCACCTTCCAGAGTCAGCGATACGTGTAAGAGCCAGAGCTCCCTTGGCTCAGGTGCAAAGGAAACATTTATTTGGCCAACAGATCGGAGCAAAGGTCCTGATGCACTGGTTGTAACAGCAGAAGAGAAGGGCAACTCTAACAGTAAAAGCAGAGAAGCTGCCACCACAGGAAGCCCAGGAGCTCAGTCCACAGCACCAGAGAGCCCTAAATTCCCCTTCTTGGCAGAGTCCCCAGACCACGAGAAGCAGGGTAGCTTCAAGAGTCTGAAGAGTTTGAAAGGCTCGTGCCCACCCTGGCTAACCCTGGAGAACACAGCATCAGCCACCCCCAACTCTGAGCACTCCAGCGCCTTTCACACCCCCAGTAACAAAACCCCCGGAGGCAGTGCCTCCCTCTGCTTCTCCTTCACTCCTGTAACATCTCCAGTGCTGGAGAGATCCCACATGGGGAACACGGGCCCTGATGCTCACAGCCTCAGTTTAGAAGATACAGTTGGCGCTCCAGACCAGCATTCAGCAGAGGTTTCCAGGACCACGAGAGATACTGGCAATGGAAGCACCAGTACTCCCCCTACAAAAGAGCCAAGACAAGCAGAGAGTCCATCCCCCAATGACTCTGGCATCTCTCTTGCCGAAGGTGACTACGTGGGGCTGATGGAGGTGATCATGGAGACCAGTGAAAGCACATGTGAAGAGCAGATGGATCAGTACAGCTAGAGGAGACCAAGAGACACACAGTTCTGTTAAGATACCTGCCATATTAGTGATATTGCAGTATCTTCACACCTGGCCACACTGGCGCTCACCCAAACAGAAGGGTAGTGCAGCCAAAGCACCTACTGCTGGAACATGCAGCTAGAGCCCAGCCTAGGCTGAAGTGACACACCGCTACTGGCCTCAGGTACAGTAACAGGCACAACTTCAGTGTTGCAGTAACAAAACAAACAAAAAACCCTCGACATTTGCAGCAAAAGGACAAACAAGACTGAGCGTTAGGTATTGCAGATACCTAACAGCAGAGCAATGGCTCAGCCTGAAGCACCTGGAGCACAGGTGTAGCCCAAAACAGAAGAGGAATACAGTTACTAAGGATACCTTCCCCCTCCTCATCACAGCAAGAATTGGAACTTGAGCTTTTCATTAACATTCGTCACAAGACCCATTACAAGTCCCAGGCAGGACTGACTTGCACTACTGATAGGTTACTCCAGGGAAAGTAAGGGATTGAAGCAAGTCACATCATTTGTGATGCAGACCCATAGTGCTCCACAAAGTCACATCTAGCTGGTGCTTTCCAGTACAGGAAAAGTAATGGAATAAGGCAGGGGAAGTGTCCACTAAAACGGGCGGCTGCAGTCAATTTGCCCAGCACATCGCTTCCTTTTGAAGTTCAACATCACATCTGCCACTGATTTGACAGTGCTCAGAAAACTAGTCATCTGGATGGTAGCAGGCACCATACAGCTATGAGTTTTTACTGTCTTCCCTAAGAAAATAAAAACAAGGCTGAAGTCCAGGATCATCCATTTCGTTTCCTCATTTTAGTTTCCGTGCAACAACAGGAATTTGGAGAAACCACAGAAGTTTTCCTACTTCTTCTGTCTTCAGAAACAGCTGCAAATCTCCCCTATCACAGGGGGCACATGACAAATTTAGTCTACCTCCCACATCCTCTCCAGTGCCTTCACAGCAGCTGCCTACCCTCTCTGCCTTCCAAGTACAGCTGCTAGACCAGGGCAGCTGCCACCACCGTCCCCGACAACTCCTGATAACAGTGTCATTGAGGCACTGCTGCTTCAGTCCAGCTCATTACAGAACGCAGCTCTTAAGTCTCGATTCACAGTACATTTTCTCCATCCGCAAGCGTAGTGCCACTTGTTAGACAGGCATGATGCCTAGTGAGGCACTACCCCCCCCTTCAGCAGCCTCATCTGAACCCACAGGGACCAATTCAGGAAGCCCAGATACTCAAAAGCCTTCCCTTCCTTTCCTTGTGCATTCATTACAGCAACAGCTTTGGTGGCAAAGGCATTTAAAACACAACTTCAGGCACTGAACAATTCCTGCAGTGGATCCTGCTGGATTGGAAAAAAAGTCATTTTTATAAAAGCACTAAGTAAAATCTGATCCCTCTAACATATTCCTTCATCCATGCCCAACTTAAGACAGCTGGCACAACAGAGACTACAGAGCACAATCCTGCGAGTACAGGCCTCTCGCTCCCGAGAGAAACAGAAAAAGCCAACTTGAACCAAGTCACTTTATTGGATGGAGGGCAATACACAAAACACAGGAGAAAAGAGGGGTGATATTTGGTACAGAGTATGAGAACTGTTTATCTAAATAGCTGAAGATGCATGCATGGCTGGACAGTAAAGTAGGAGTCCCACTGAAACCCACAGGGTGGCTCTTGGCAAGACTTCAGCTCTCATTGTCACTGTCCCCTAGGGTGTGCTTGTCAAAGAGGTACTCTGCCATGCCATATTTTGGTGCCCCCATCTTCCGCAGGTTGGTCACATGGTCACCCAGCTCTTTGATGGATTTCACCTGTTCATCCAGGTAGTGAGTCTCAATGAAGTCACACAACTGAAAGGGAGACAAAAGAGTTTAAATGTAGGCCTGCACACACCTTACCCTGCTGAAGCAGCACCTGAAATTCTACCAGTCCTCTCTAGGGAAAGCAGAAGATGCAGAACAACAATTTTAAAGCTGCAGAAGATACCTGAGAGGAAGAAGCCTTTAGTTTTGCCTCAGCAATGCCAGAGCAAGATCAAAGTGAGGCAGACTTATCCAGGCACACTTGCTCCAGAACTGCAGTACCATGTCTCCCTCACTACAAGAAGCAACAGGCAAGTTTCGGAACGTGTTTAGAAGCTCTCACTGCACAGCACTTGAATTCATGACCATGAGGATTTATACCTGTAGAATGGTCCAGCTATGTTATTTTCTTTAAAAAAAAAAAAATCCCTCTGACTTATGCAGGACACTCCCAAGAGTACTTTGATTCAGACACATGCTAACCTCTTCCTGATACTAAGAAGCCTCAATCCAGCCTTGCCAATAAATTCCATCTGTGAAGAAACCCGTTTTTTCAAGCACTGTGTTCAAGTGCCATGGCTTTTAACATTCAGAAGTGACTCCAAAAGTTTATGACAAAAAAGCCTTACAGGCATCCATTGGTGTAACATAAGAACACATCCCCCACAGAAACAAGCCTTCTCCATAGAGCTTAATAAATTTCTTCTCTTCAAAATGCTGTTCAGGAGTGCTCTCTGTTCCCAAGAGCAACAGAAGGGTTTGAACAAAGCAAGGCACCCACAGTTGGGTAAGGCAGGCCTCAGCCATCCTAACATGCTGCAACTGGTCCTCCTGTAAAGAGATGGCAATAACCCTGCCAAACAGCTAAGGTACAGGCTGACGCCTGGGCCCTTCCCCTTGGAAGGGCCGCACCACTGGTTCACACCCTTTTTTCACCTTTAGTAATGTCAGGGACACACAACTCACCCCCAAAGCCACACAATTAGACACATACAAGCCCCCTCACTGCACAGCCATATGCTCAGCTTCAGCGTCTACTTACATGTGGGTCATTCTTTTCAGTTGCCAATTTGTGCAGTTCCAACAGTGACTGGTTCACGTTCTTCTCCAGGTGCAGGGCACACTCCATTGCAGTCAGTCCATTCTCCCAGTCATCACGATCTGGCTTCTAGAAGGGGAAAACACACAACCACATTTTCTGTAAGTACCCACAAACCATTAGGGAGCAAAGTCTTTTTAGATCAGTCACAAAGCCTGTTTAGACCAAGTTCAGGCACTTCAGTATCTTCAAAAATTTGGCAGACACAGAGCACACACTCCAAACAGAACCTGAACGCATGCTCCACATCCCAGACCTCTCCCCATCCCCTAGGTTCTCCTCATGTTATGTTCGCTGAGCTCTTGTGGGCAGGACGGCTAACGGAGCTACTGCCTTCCTCCTCCCATTATAACCTAATGGCTTAAACATCTGCCTACGTAAGCAGGTAACGGGCACAATCTCAGAAATGAAGCAGTTAAGATGCCAGTACACGCAAGTCTAGTCTTCAGCTTAGAACTGCCTAGTATAGTCTGGTGTTTACAAGTACTCAGACTTACTAGTAAGCAAGGGAATTCTTCTCAAGTGCCCATCACTTACTTTGTTTACTGTTTTCACCATGAAGAGTTGTCTTGCATTAAACTGGCCCTACAATGTTGCTTACTTTCTGCTGTTCCAAATAATCTAATTAAAGTGACTTCAAGAAAACAGCACTATGAAATCTTGCAGTGAGCCATAACAACCAACTGGAAACTTCTGATTTCCTATCCCCATGGCAAGCAAGTCAAGAGGCAAGAGGTCTCTACAAAACAGCATAGAGAACAGAGAAGGCTCTTGCCGTTAAAATTTTAGGTAGATGAACCAGTTGTGTTCTTATTACCCTCAGCCCACAGCAAACCACCCAGGGCTAGGCATCCTCATCTTACACAGGAAATATTTGTTATTAGTCAATCAGCACAAAGTATCACATTACCACGCATCTCTAGATTTTGGGCCGAGTGCTACGCATGGATCGCAGCAATGCGGTATGCTTATCTACTGTCAGCTGCTGGGAACGGACTCGCAGGGAAATCCCTCCCCTTCCAGCCTGGAGACAGACCACAAGTCTAGTTCTGCATTAGAGAGGACAGCCCATAGCTCCACTCCTCACCTTGATGTCCTGCAAGAAGATGCGTCCGCCCCTCTGATTCTGTAGCTTCATCAGTTTCTCAGCATGCTCACGTTCCTCATGGGACTGATGCAGGAAGTACTTGGCAAAGTTTTTCAGCGCCACATCATCCCGGTCAAAATAGTAGGACTGAAAAATAAGAATTCATATGCTCAAAACCCCAAGCCTCACTCCAGCAGCCGCACAAAGCCAAGTCCGTACTGTGACTTCAGTTATGCCTCCTATCAGCCCTACTTCAAGATTGCTGGAGTCCAAGCTAAGGCTGGCCGTAGCACTGACGACAGCAAGGCAGTGTGGCAAAACGCCTTCCTTAGTAGCAAATTAGGTTTTCCTGACTAGGATTAAATTTTAACCTGTATCCCTACCACGAACACCAGGGACACAAATAAATGGCATTTGTGGTTCAGTTCTGAAGATAAAAAACCCACATCCCACAAAGATACCTGTTCTTCTGAGCACCATTCAAATGCCTTAAACAAAGCAGACTCAAAAGCCTTTTGCAAGAAGGAGAAATCTTCCCTGCTCCCTTTGTATGCCAGAGTTTGTTTACAGTGATCACAGTCAAGGTTCTGACTTGCAATACCAGTTAAGGGTGGCCAAGAACTTCAAGTACTTCTGCAATAAAGCTCGCGTGCTTCCTTAGGATTATCAGGGATTAAACTAAGAAGTACACTTTCTACTTTTGAAAAAAAAAAAAAAAAAAAAGTAGCTCGTATCACATTTAAAAGACAAAAGATAAATTGACATTCAACAGCAAATACAAAATCGTCTTTTTTGAAAGCCAAAAAAACTGCAACAGCAGTTAGAAGCCATCACACAGCTTGTTTGTTCTTTGGTCAGAGCCATTAGGCAGGATTCAATGGCAAGCTTTGTATCAAGTGCCAGTTATTTACCAGACAAACTACTACAGAATTCTCCGCTCTTCAACCAGCAGCTTGGAGGTTCAAGGCGAGACACCGGTCCTCGTGTACCACTATCATCCACCAACATAATTACATTTAGCTTGTAACTGAGGTTCAGACCTTGATAGTAACACAAAAGCAAGCTGTGAAGTTCTACACCCACATGCCGCAACATACTACAGCGTCACCAGAAAGTCTCAAGTTGCCTGGAAGTCTCAAGCACCAAGACTGCTGCACAGAGGTCAGAGCTGCTGTTTGGACCAAAGTTACTCATCTCATCCATGGCTAAAACGGGAGTCTCATGCCAAGCGAGACGTGTAAGCACAGCGCCAAGGAAACCACCGATTCCTACCAACTCACTTCAAAAAACTGAGCGAAAAACCTTGCGTCAGAGACAAGAACGCCTGCGGGAAAGGTGCCAATCGCTTCGTTAGTCAACTCCCGCTATCCAGCCCAGCCCCAAGGGCAGAGCCGCTTGGAAGCTGCTGAGCTGTGCTGATAAGGAGTCCCCCAAGGGCAACAACCGGAGAGCGGTTAACGTGTAACTCAAGTTCGCCACCGAGATAAAGGTCTCACCTACAGAAAACAAGCGGCCGCCCCACCCCCCGGGGAAGGCCGAGACTGGCCCGGAGGCGGGGGAGGAGGAGCGCGGCTGCGCCCGCAGGCGC